GGAGGGGGCCGGGACCACGCGCTGGCCGCGGAGGGATCCCCCGACCCTTCCCCCCATATAAAGAGATACAATGTTTCCTTTTATGGCGAGGCCGCTCCTTATATGGTGAGCCCCAGAGCCCCCGCCCCATTGGTCCGCGGTTCCGGCACCTCCGCTCCCCATTGGTTCACGGGGGGCGCTCGTTTGCATAGACATACCGAACTCGCTGCTGTCATCCCGCGTCGGACCGCGATTCCGAAAGGGGAGGAGCCAACGCCTCTTAAAGGCACAGGAAAGGAGGCACAACTCCGCCCCCCTAAAGTACAGAATGTTGAAGAACCGGCGGACGGAGGCTTGCGGAGGAGAATCCTAGGAGAGGACCGGAGTATAGTCTTGCAGAGGAAAAGGAACTGGAAGCAAACCTTCGGGAAGTCCCAGACTGCATGAAGGATTTCCAGCATATGAGAATATATAGCCCGGTTCCCGCGAGGGTGTGCAGGGGCTGATCGGAGCTCTTCCCACGCGTTCGGAGGGCGGCAAAGTTGCCCGGGAGCGGAGGGCTGGGCTGCGGATACTGAGACCCGGTGCCCGGCGCCTGCACGCCTCCCTTCCCTCCCCCGACTGTCTCTCTCTCTTTTCAAGGGATCAGCACCTCCCCGCCAGCCCAGCTCCCCGACCTCATTCATCATCCTCTGTACTGGGGGTCTTTGGCAGTCTTGCAAGGGCGGGCATGGGAACCCATCTTCCCGTCCCTGATGGGGGCAGGGAGGACCAGGAGACCGGTGAAGACTTCCAGCTGCAGCCTTGGCTGGAAGTGGGGGTGGTCTCAACGAGAGAGCACACCCCACAGCCATTGCGAAGGGCTGAGAAAAAGTGTAGCTGGGACACAAAGTTGAAGCACGCGGGTGAGCAAGCACATGCACGCGCACATGCGCCCTTCCCTAGGAATCTAAGGTGCTGGCGCACGCCTGTGATCCTAGCACTTTGGGAGGCTGAGGCAGGGGTATGGCAAGTTAGAGCCCAGTCTGGGTAATTGAGCAATGTAGCGCGATCCTGTCCCAAAATAAAAATAAAAAGGGTTGGGGTTGTGCGAAGACTCTGGGTTCAAGCCTCATTACTGAAAAAAAAAATTTTTTTTTAGGGCTAGAACTGGGCCTTGTGAACTGCTGGTTGGGCCTGCATCTGGATCTCTGCTCCAAAGCTGTGAAAATAAATTGCATTTCATCAATGCAAAATTAATCAAATCTGATGTCTGACCCTTGCTAGTCTTGTGCCCAGAAACCGGTGATTTGATGTCTCCAAACTCCACATTTGCCAGTGGTGGTACCACCTCAGGAGGCCCTGAATGCAGATTTAATAAGATAAACTTAAGCACAGAGCAGTCAGTAAACACTTAATAGGAGCTACCTGAGGTCAGTCACCTAAGCCAAGGGATAAACATCAGGTGTGTGCTGGGATTGGGAATCATGAATCCTGCCTCAGAAGTTGTGAAGATTAAATAAAGCAGTTGGCTGTGACTTAGTGGTGCTGGTGGTGATACAATTTAGTAAAACCAGCCCTTAAAAGAATAAATTAATGGGTATCACAGAGAGCAAGGCTAAGTATTGTTGCATGTTTGTTTGCACTGTACACAAGCTTTATCATACAAAATTACCATTTTATAAAGTCAAAGGAGTGCAAATATTGTCAATTTCATATGGTTCAACATGTTTGCACTGGGTGACAAGGTCAGCTGCATCTTTTACAGTCACAGTGGAAAAACTTTGGAAAATACCAAAATAAAGAACTACAAGAGATTTGTGAAATACACAAATTGCGTGTTTATACACACTTGTAGCCTTACACGTACATATACACAAACATAGGCTTGTTCATTAAACGTGATAGGAAGTTAGAAAGTCTCCTCTTCTTCCTCCATTTTCCAATGGTTTTCTTTTTTAATGTCCTAATTTACACAACAGGTAGTTAAACATATGGGAATGTTAGCCCAAGAAGAACAAGTCATTATTTGACCTATTTAGTATAGGTCCCAGACCAGGCATGGTAGCACACGCCTGTAATCCCAGCACTCGGGAGGCTGAGGCAGGAGGATCATTGTGAGTTCAAGGTCAGCCTGGGCAACAAAGTGAGGTCAAGGCCACCCTGAAGTACATAGCAAGACCCTGTGTCAAAACAAAACAAAGCAAAACAAAACAAAAAAAAACAGTATTATAGGTTCCAGAAGGTCTAGGGGCCACTAAAATTATGTTTGGGGGTGTGTTTGTTCTAGGCAACACAACCACAGCCCTAGATTTCACACCCACCCCAGTCCTCTAAAGACTGTCCAGACCCCAACCACCCACCCAAGCCCCTGGGCTGCTGCACACCAAGTAGTGCTATACACTTTCTCTGCCAAAGGGAGGCAGAGGGAAGACATGTCCACATCACGTTGGATGACTACAGGCTTAGGGGCCAAAAAAATCCAAGTCAGGGGCTGGGGATTTAGCTCAGAGGCACAGCGCCTGCCTGGCAAGTGCAAGGTCATGAGTTCGATTCCCGGTATCAGAAAAAAAAAAAAAAAAAAAGACAAAAAATCCAAGTCAAAACCAGATTCATAGATGTGTTTTATTTGGGCCTTGAAACATTTAAAAATCAGAAGATTAAGCCAGTCATGGTGGTGCACACCTGTAATCCCAGCACTTACAGGCTGAAGGAGGACTGCTAGAAGTTAGAGGCCAGCCTGAGCTATAAAACAAGACCCTGTCTCAAAAAATAAAAATAAAACAACAAATCAGAAGACTATACAGAAAAGCCTGACTAGCCACTGAGGATATGATTCAGTGGTAGAGCACTTGCCTGGCATGCTGGCAGCCAAAGGTTTGATCCTCCAATGCCACCAAAAAAATCTGAGTATCTGACCTCTTTCAAAAACATTGGGATACTTTCCTCCTTTTGTTTCCTGGCCTGCAACATAAGCAGTTTTCCTCTGCAGTGAGGTCTAGACGTGGTCTGCTGCCTCACCACAGAACCAAAGCCACACGGCCGATCACTCGTGGAATGGGCCTCCAGAACCTCTGAAGAGTTTCTCAAGGACAAGACCCTTGAGAATCATTTTTTACTTCTTCTATACCAAGTGCCTTATTCCTGCTGGTCGTCAAGAAACGTTGAATGAAGAAATAAATGAACAAAAAGAAGAGTCCTGTTGAGTTTAGATTGATGGATAGCCGGGGGTGGTGGCACATGCCTGTAATCCCAGCACCAGGGAGGCTGAGGCAGGAGGATCGTTGCAAGTTCAAGACCAGCCTGGGCTACAAAGTGAGCTCAAGACCAGCCTGAACTGCATAGTGAGACCCTGTCTCAAAAAGACCTAAAAAAAAAAAAAAAAAATTGAGTGATGGATGACTTTAGGATAATGGCTAATGGCAGGACACATAGGAGGTATCTAGTAGATAGGGGCTCCAAACAAGGTTTATACATGTGTTAAACCAAAAAAAAAAGAAAAAAAAAAAATTGAGGCCTGATGTGGTGGTGCACACCTGTAATCCCAGCACTTGGGAGGCTGAGGCAACAGAATCATTGAGGACAGCCTGGGCTACACAGTGAGTTCAAGGCCAGCTTGAGGTACACAGTGAGACCTTGTCTCAAAAAAAAAAAAAAAAGGAAGAGCATTTTTGGAAACACAAGGACAGGTACCAAAGGAGCTCTGTAACCTAAGGAGTTCTATAACTGGCTATAGAAAAGGCCTTCTTGGAGGCTATGGATATAGCTCAGTGGCAGAAGCACCTGCCTGGCAAATGTGAGGTTGTGAGTTCAATCCCTGGTACGAAAAAAGAAAAAAAGAAAGAAAGAAAAGGCCTTCCTGTAGACCCCATACAGACCACTAAGCTCAGGTGGGTGCATTCCCTCTGCCTGACCAGTCTGCATTCACATTTTTCCAATAAGGTCTAAGTCATTCCTGGATGAGATGGATGCTTTGTCCATCCCCAACTTTGAAGCGAAGGGCATGAGAATTCCAGCCACTGCTCACCCTACACCACCCCCACTGACCTTCCTTTATCCTGATTGTACCTGCCTGTGTGTGTGTGTACTGAACCCAAGGCCTTTACATTGAGCTATACTCCCAGCTTTCTTCTTTTTGAGACACCCTCTTAAGTTGCTAAATTGCTCAGGCTGAGCTCAAACTTGTAATCCTCCTGCCTTAGCCTCCTAGAGTGGTAGTTTTTTTTTGTTGTTTTTAAATCTTTTTGAGACAGGGTCTCACTATGCAGTTCAGGCTGGCCTTGAGCTCACTTTGTAGCCCAGGCTGGTCTCAAACTCACAACAATCCTCTGCCTCAG